GGTGAGTCACAGGGGCGTTAGAAACGACGCGAACCCAGGAGCGAGCCTGGGCATATTCGAAGGCGCGGTAGGCCTCTGTCACCGTCGCATATCCACGGAAGATACAGTTTTTAACTCCCGAAACGAGAGGTTTGGTCTGCAGCCTGCACAAAGATAGATAATCACATTAAGAGATGCGAGAGGCCAGCACTTACCAAGTAAAAAAAACTCCTGTGTCTGTGCCGACAAAGATGACGTACGCGGCCTTAACCACGCGCTTCCCGTGCGGACTTGCGTGTTGAACCCGGTGAACGCTGGCGTTTGCAACACCCTGGGTGGCGGCCCCGGCGATAGACCTGACAATGAATTCCGAGTCAGTGCGTGCGAAAGAGACATATTTGATTAGAGTACCACTGGTTAGTATAACCGGAGTTGCCGGGGGAATCGAAACGGTAAACGGTCTCGCTGACTGGCGCGAATGCTAGATGATAACGGGCGGGGTTGGCAGGTGGGGCTCGCCGGTGAACAGTCGGGGTGGATGGCGGTTCTGCGCGAGGACGCACACGAGGGAGGGTATGGGGACGAGGAATGGGATTGAGAGGAAGACTGGAGTAGGGCGGAGGCGAGGGGGTGCGAGGTGGTTGTGGCTGGGGGTCTTCGGGGCGCAAATTCAATCGGGCTAGGAGGGCCAGCAGCGTCGAGTTATCCTGATCCTCAGTGGATTCAGGGAGGGTAGTGGTCATGATGAGACAATCGTTGCGGCGGGCATGAGCGACGGGGAGAAAAGTCTCCGAGTAATTAGAAAATGATAACAAGTGCCTGAGATTTTCATCAGATCAGAGAGAAGTTCCACAACACGACAATCAGAACACACCATATGCTCGAGGAAGTGCTTCGAAATATGAGCCGCTATTTGGAGAGCAAAGTAGGAGAGCAATTGAGTCGACTGGAGACATGAATCCGAGTTGGGGTGAGTTATAGAGAGATACAGAGCCAAGACCCAAGACCCCAAAGTTGCCGCCAGATGTCCGGAAGCGAAGTGATGGTCGTGGAGTCGTGGAACGCCGGAAGCTCATGGTCCATGGAAGAAAAAGAAGGCATAGCGATCGAATCACAATCGGGATCACAAAGTGATCAGTCTTAATTGGGCGGGATCGCCGGATGTATTTTTTAGTATTATTTCGGACGCGTTTAAGTATTATTTCACTATCACACACGAAATTGCAAGTTTCATTGGACTACTACGCGACGGAACTAGTAAACTACGCGAGGCAGGGTACCTAAGGGGGAAGTGAGCCAAGACCGCATTCGATAGAATGAAACTTACAATCAAGGAGGAATCGCGACCATCGAATACCCCAGCATTTGGTTGAACTCCTGGACGGCGAGGGCCTGGGTCTTGTGGCCTGCCATGGACGACCCAGAGACACGGGAAACGGCGCGAAGTGCAAGAGTGTTGCTGGTGGTGACGCCGACAAATTTGCCCTGGGTGATGCAGTACCAGAGTTTATCCTCGGCGTCCTCCTCGACGATGGCCATCAAAGGAGAGGTGGGGACAACTATGTACAAGCCCCCGACGAGCCAGGGACCATGGGTGAGAAATCCGGTGGGTGCGGCAGCCGGAGTAGCAGCCGCTGTGGCATTGGGAGAAGCTGGGGCGGGGGTGGCGCCGTCGGGAGAGATGTCGGAGCCAAGTGGCTGAGCGCCCGATGCGGCGGCCTGAGCGGCTATCGACAGAAAAATTGTCAGAGAGGGGAATGGGGGGAACGGAAACTGCATGCCTTGGGCTTGCGAAAGACTGGCGACGGCGGCGGTCAATTGCTGCAGAGCAGCGACGGTCTTGTCTACGAGCATACGTTAGAAGGGTAATGAGTGACAAGAGGAAGTGGCTTACCGTCGCTGCTCTGGGCGTTGGAGGCTACTGGGACAGACAATCCTGTTCCAGGAGCGACGGGAGAAAGGTTGGTCATGGTGGGAAGGAAGAAGAGGGATGATCTGGGCGATACGAGCCGCGTTGCTTTTATATGGCCGGGGAAATTCAGACTCCGCATGTGATGGTCGCACCAGGCGAGCTGGGATGAGTGAGCAGGAGACCAATGAAAAAATAATCAGGACAAACAATTACCTTGTGATGCACCACCAAATATCGCAACTGCAGAAGAAAACACCACACAGCGAAAGTTTCGTGAGTTAGGCTGTTAAACGAGAAACGGGATGGGCACTGAGTGTTGGCGTGCAGGCAGAGAATATATGTCCCGCAAGAAGCGTGAACAGAAGCGTGTTCCCAGGGCAGAGCGCAAAAATCTGCGCTTGTGGGCAGAAGGCGTCCGCGAGACAATTCTAAGCCCTCATCTCGACGGGTACACAGCAGCATTGGATCAGGGATGGCGTCAAGAACGAGCATATTGCAAGAAAGTGTGCCTGGAATTTCATTCGCGAGTGGATTGGCAGACGGAGGATCACGAGGAGCCCGTGTTAGACGAAAATTGGGATGCATCGGCGCTGAAGGAAAAAAGCAAGCCCTTGTCGCCAGAGCAAGAAAAAACGAAGCGCGGGCGAATGAAAGTTTTGGATAAGGTGAGTCACATGATTTCATAAATTTCCTTTTTGAGTCTGACTTGCTTCAGCGAATTCGACGCTGGTTCACCTATCGTATCCGCCGCATCCGCAAACACCGTAGCTCAGCTGGCTTAGACCCAACTAAAGATCCATACGCTGTACTTTTGGCCAAGCTTTCCGGATTGACCGCGCCACCGAAAGCAAGACAAGGCTTCCAGCAGTGGATGCGCGAAACCCCCAAAGACGAGATCGAGCCTGTTGTGCAAGCGCGCTGGGCTGAGGAGCAGGAAAAAGGGGCGGAGGTGGCGGAGCGTACAAAGGAGCCTAAGGTCGGCTTCCGAGCTGCGGTGGCGCGCAGTATCTTCAATGGGCTGCCCCAGGCTGAGCAGAAATCCATTGGGGCGAGGGCCACCCAGGAGGCGTCCGCGGCTAAGGCTGCATACACGACGGCGCTGAAGAACACCCCATCTACCAAGCCAGAAGATCGTCAGAAGTGAGTGATTTAACTCTTAGCTTAACTTGTCTGACGGCGAATCGGGAAGGTGTATCGACGCCATACCTGACTTTGTGGGTCCAATCTTGCGGGGTCTTTCTGAGTACACGGGCATGCACGCGACGCTTATCATGGGAGGCCCCATGCCGAAATATGGCGGAGATATCAGAACGGTGCAGTACGTTGTTGCGTGCAGTAAAAGTATCGAGTGCCGACTAACTTTGTGGAAATAGCACCTCATATGGACGCAACAAAGCGACTATTCCTACCCACTGGGGCCAGTGGAACAAGCAGCGTTTCCAGCAGCAGGTGGCAGACTACATGATTGAGTATTTACAAACAGCGTTCAGTACGTATATTTCCTTCCATCTACGCTTTCCCAGCTGACGTTTTTGATCAGAACCCGAGGACTGTGCTGCCGCCGCACTGGCACCTGCCGATGTGCTGTCCGGTGCCAAGTACCGCATCGACGACACGAAGAAAGCCGAGTCCGACTCAGACTCGGAGTCGTCGTCCTCAGACTCTGAGCCCGACTCGGATTCATCGGCTTCGGAATTGGAAGAGGAGGGAGGGAAAACCAAGCGCCAGCTGAAGAAGAAGCGAAAAAGAAGCCAAACGAAAGCGGCAGCAGCAACGACACCATCAGCCTCGGACTCCAACTCGGACTCGGACTCGGAGGAGCGTGCGCGGGATGGGAAAAGGCGCAAACGGCGAGCAACCCCAGAGTCCACCGTCCCCATTTACCAGGACGGCCTTACGTACGACCAACTGCGGACCCGCAACATCGAACGAAACGCGGCCTCACTGCGGGCGATCGTAGCCGAGCAGGAACTCGCAGACCCCACTCCCGCCCCCCGTCCAAAGCCCCGCCCTCGGCACAAGGATGTCAGCTCTGGCCCGACGCGCACTTCGACACGCCGTCGCACGGGCGGCGCAGGCTCCACCTCAGCACCGGCAACACAGGCACCGACGACCTCAACCCCAGCGCCAGCAACATCGTCACCTTTTTTGCCGACTGCCGCTTCCACTTCGACACCTCCAGCGACGTCTCCTCCGTCAACTCTTTCGTCATCGGCGCCCGGGACGACAACTCCACCCGCCATCACGCCAAGCATTCTCGTCGCATGCCCTGCCAAAGCGGCCCTCTGGTTTATCGACGCGCGAGCTGAGATGACCAAAGTCGATTTGGGCTGCCATTTCCAAGCCCTGCTAACGGCGTGGACTCGCGTCGAGGACGCATCGCGTTTCGAACATGGCCCACAAAATCTTGCCACCATTGGGCGCCCGACGGAACTCAAGACGTGGATTGCGCGGAAGCGGGGCAAGACCGGCCCGGATCCTATTGTCACCGACCCATCAGCATACGCCTTGAAGTGGCAGGGCTGGTGGGACAGTTTACAGCCGGCGTGGCGGGAGAAGAGCCAGGATGGAACCTGGGTCGCGGAGGGACCGTATGGCCCCGATGGGAAGGAATGGGGGGAGTTGTACCGCTGGGGCGTCAACGGCACGTTGACCATCGTTGCCTCGCTCTACTTCTGGGGCTTGGCGGTGATCAGCGATGCTGGGGTTTTCAAGTCGGCATGGGTGGTCGCCGTGAACGATGTTTGCTGGATGATGGAGGGTTTAGCGACTTTTTACGAGATGTTCAACAAACGGTTTTGATTTTTCTGTCTCTTTGTATGTTCTGGAGTCCTTGCAATCAATAACGGGTGCCATATGAGAGAGAGAGAGAAAAACTTGGAAACAAATAAGTGATACAAAAAATTTGAAGCCCTATATATACGACCAGGGCAGGATTCGAACCCACGTAAGGTGCAGAGAATTATCAAAGGCTATAAAGAGCCGCACCCGCTGAACCACTTAGCTACCTGGCCCGCAACAGCTTTCAGAATGGGCACTAGGTAGTATTTGGATCACAAATAAAATAAAAAGAAACTTCAACTGGTGAAAAAATTGAACCCTCAGAAAACGCCCAGGGTGGGAATCGAACCCACATAAGGTACAGTAGTTTTTGGGAACGATCAGTTAACGTACCTACTTTACCACTCAGCCACCTAGCCGACACAAAGCATAGTTATCAGTCTATTAGGTGCGTCGCGTGGCTAGGAAACAAAACTCACTCAGTCCAATGGCATTGGGGCACGGTGGAGCGGGTGTGGGCGGGGCGTCGCGACACAAGTGGAGCTGAACGAAATTACCGTATAGGTGAAAATATTTTCCAGTTTTCATTTAGCCGGGCCGGCGGGAGAGGGGCGGGACCCATCACGTGGTAAGTTTGATCGGCGGCGCGCACGGCGTAGCGGGCGCAGAAAATGGGCGCATAGGGCGCATGAACGTTTATGTGGTGTGCACGGGTCCTCCAAATGCGCCTAAATTTTGATAGCCATTTAGGGTATCCCCTGGTAAAATTATCCCAGGGCGGGATCAGGCCCATCAATCCCGCCGTGTGATTTGAGCCGCAGCGTGGTCGGCGTAGTGTTCGCGGAGGGCTGGCGCGTGGTAGCAATCTGGCATGTCAGTACTGACACACCAGGTGGTTATGTTCTGCGGAGGTGCTGGGAGGGAGGATCCCCGGGAGCGGGGCGGGGCGGGAGCGGCGGGGGAATGTGGACCGTGGGAACAGCGCCCGATGCGGGGAAGGCGGAATCGGATGCAGATGAGCAATTTGGGGTAGGACATCGTGGGATGATCCTGTGCGAACAAAAACAGGCGGGAAATAATTAATGCACAATGTGGATTTCAATTTTTTTTTCACATTCCCATCATACTGTAAATACATGCAAAGGGAATCTACAGCCGGGAAGGGGTCCTGCAGACGCCACACGTGCCGATTTTGCGCTGTATGGCTGCTGCATGGTACTAGCCAAGCAGTTGGCTGGGACCATGCGTTTTGAATACCAATCCATTGGCTAGCGCCATGTCTTTTTGAATATATATTAAGACTATGGCTCTATCATTGTATATTTCGGAGAATACCCATTTCCCAATACATCATGTTGACACTGCCACGATTTTCTAAGATTTCGATGTGAATCTTGAGTGAATCACCACTAAATACGCCTTCAACCAATTATCTTCCGTGGCAATCGGATGGTAGCCAACCGGCGTGTGGATGTTGCCACGCACTGCAGACGGATCAAGAAGTCTGACTTGGATCCTAGTAAGACGGAAGTACCCAGTGAAGCAATTGTGGCTCTCGCCACTGGCGGACAGGCTCCTGAAGATACAACATGTGAGGAACGAACCTTTGTAGTCTGTCTAGGAGAGACTATTCTGAGGAAGAAACAATTAATATTTGTGGACGCGGGGAACTCCTGGTGAAAACTTGACTATCCGCGCAATATGGCGACCTCAGGAGCGGACATATCAAGAATAGCTAAACGAATGCTTAGGACGGCACGTGGTGCAGGCATTGTTCGGATAAGTGTTGAGGTCTACTCGAGATTCCGGCGCCATAATCGCCTCGAAAGCCAGAGGAGAACCCGTCCAAGACACCGGGAGACGGAGAATCCACAAGCTGCACCTCGCTACATCAGCGGGTGTGGCAAAACCGCGCCATATACCACAATTACAGTATGCCGTTTATTTGTTTTCATTCCCGGTCTGCTTCAACTCTTGAGGGGCTTCCCGCTACCGATCAGGGACGGGAACCGCAGCTTGCCAATGGGCGGACCCGCCGGCTCTCGTATGCCCGGGATTCTCAAGACCCCGCGGTAACAAGCACGGGGAATAGGCACTGTTGTCGAGACTGCGAGCGCTAGTGCATTTCGGTCGGGCGGTTCCTTCCCTTTATGGCATATTTGTGGAGACAATAAATGAAATGCGTGAACTCTGGTTCAACTTTGTTGACGTCGGCTCATGTTACCGGTCTTATGTAGGCATATACACATCGAGTCATATACACGGAATTCTGGGGTTGTATTCTTGATACCAGCGCTTCGTGAAATAAAAGCTATAAGGGCGCCGCGCTATTTGGGTGAACGTCCAGTGCATACACGCCGGCGCTACCGACATTTTCTTTCCGCACTCCTACATAACTACCACTTGAAAAGGGAGAACCGAGACGTCTGTAGTCTGTAGGATGTGGGGTTCTAACTTTTAAAGCCTGCGCATGCCACGCAAACTTCACACCCCAGTGACTTATTGGTGAGGAATCAGGATTAAAGCTCTGTGTGATTCACCTTGAACGGAAAGGAAACCTTTGGGACCTTTCTTTTCCTTTCATTCGGGACTTGCTTCACGATTCATGAACCGACTTCGCGACGCGAATCGTGAGCGCTCAGCATGTGACCGCGTCATGAAAACACGTGGCCAAACCGGACAATACGCATCTTTGTCCCCATCCATCGTCGGAGTCCTGCGATGTCCCGTTCCAATGAGCCACCGGGTACCGAGTTGAATGCGGAGGTAAGACGGATAGACATCCATCTCTTCTCTCTTTCTAATGTCGTCCTCGGAGGCGGGAAAACTTTTCAAAGCGGGCGACTATCGCGGTGCAGCAAATTACTATGAACGCGCTATCGCTGCTTCGGACGGCGTATCAACCTACTTTTCCAACCTGGCTGCGGCATATCTTAAACTCAGAAAGTAAGTTCTATCTTCGTAGACGCGCAGTACATTTCTTAATGCCACTCCATCGATCAGATACCCTGCAGCCCAAGAAGCAGCGCGCAGAGCCTTGATCCTCGAACCGAGATCATTCAAAGCAAGGTATAGACGCGCGATGGCGCGAAAGGGCATGAATCTCATCCCGGAAGCCCTGGTGGACATTGCAGGCGTGTTGACTGCAGACCCAGCCAACTCCGAGGCCCGAATCGAGTTCGCGGCACTCGTGCAGATCCAGAACAAGACCGGTCGGCGGCCACTTGAGCCAGAGGACGTCCTCCGGCTTGATTTCCCCCATGCCTACGGCTCCAGTGCGAATCCTCCCCGGTCAACTTTGACCACCGATTTGCATCGGATGTCGTTGCCTTTCTTCTACAAGGTGGACATTGGCGAGAAGCCGGGAAGTGCTGCGGTCGAGCCGGGCGTGAAAATAAGCGGGTGCATGACTTGCGGGCTAACCGTGAATAAGAAGAAGCTCAAGACATGTCAGAAGGTATATGTTTGTTTCACCGCGAATTTGTCACAGGCTGAAGTCGCGCAGTGTCGCCGCGCGAATTACTGCAGTGTCGAGTGTCAACGCGCCGATTGGTAAATCTTTCATCTTTTTCTCTCTTTGAAACAACTGGACCTATTTTATTTTCCAAGGCCGATTCACAAACCCAGTTGCAAAATCCCAATAGACAAAGGTACGACGATCCGTGCTGGGCGCAGTATCCACCACCACCAATTCTTCAATGTCCACCTCCTCTTCTACGCCCTCCGTGCCCTCGGCCCGCCGATCCTCCCCGGCGGCAGGCACGACTTCCTGCTCATGGTCATCATCGACCTCGTCCCTCTAACTCCCGACTCTCCCCGCAAACGCATCGCGGTCCGAAACATCCTCCCCGTCCCGGTCTCCATCATCCCCGAAGAGATCCTCGAGATCCATCGCGGGGTGCTCCGCGCTACGCTCCCCGACACGCCGCTGCATTGCCTCTGGATCACCACGACCGGGGTGTACCCGCGCGGCGAGGACGAGGAGTCGCGCGTCGGCCCGATACCGGTGATGCCCTTCATCCTGTCGAACGTCGGCAACCCTGCGTTCTCGTTGGACGTGTATAGTCATTCGTGGGGCGCGTACCGCCGGATTACGCCGGACCTTGATTTTCTGTTTGAGTAAGTGGTCAATTCTCTTCTCGATATTAATCTACCCATATTAACTGACCCCCAGGAGCATCAACGACGAGCTAAGGCTGGACGTTCAGAATCATTACTCGATGCAGGCTTGACGCGAATGCAAGGCGCACAAATACAATTTTGGTGCTTCATAATGCATATCCAAGTGTAACTGTATATATTCTGAATCTCGCTGCCCTCCCTGAATCCTGGAACCGTCGGAATCGGGAGCGTTCTGGGCCAAGCCGACGAGAAAAGGATTAGATTCATTTGTTGTGTCCCGTGAGTACCTCGTAGAAGGAAAGTGGTTTCCAGAACGATCGGCATAAGACTCAGAGACAATAATTCAGAGGTGTTGGATTCAGTTTCAACACAGAATATCAATATCGCATAGCGAGCAACGGAAGAATTCGGAAGGGTCAGGTGGCTATGCCCTTCGGATCAAATCGTTGCTGAGTCCTCCTTGCTGCATGCAAGCTGCATGTTCCACGGCAACTTTACACGCACCGTTGTTTTCCTGAAGATGACCAGCGACCCGGTATCATTCCATTTGAACTTCTGGGTCGTCTTAGTATTCCCCTTCAGCAGCGCCGGTGAATGTCCCGGCGGTCCACGGCGCGACCTGGCTGCCAGCAAGCAGGACTCATCTTCAAGTTTTTGGGTCCATCACGGTCCCAAACGACTCTCGATTCATCGATCTCTCACGACCCCCGTAAAACACCATCTCCACGCACACGCACTGAGCTTGCGAAAGACAGATCCTTTACAACACGGAGTGTTCTATGCTTTCCGAAATCACCGCTTATCTCCCCAGCTTCCTTTGCTTGACTGCCTTGGTCTTCGGGAAATCTCTTTCATCCGTCGATCAACTCCCCATCCTACATAATGTACAGAACCTGGAGTTGAGTCACACAAAGTTCCAATCCTGCGCTGACTTCACGCAGTTTAAAAATTTGTCTCGAAATTCCCTGCCCTCCGCGAGTTAGAGTTGCGGTGGATGACTTGGGAAGATTCTCGCCCCGATATGTGGCCACACCTGATGCACCCACAGCCCATGGCCTAACGCTGCGTATTCCGAACAATTCGACACCCTCATCGCCAACATCTTCAGCTTTCTGGATCATTCGAACGGTCATTTGAATTACCTGCGATTGGACTTGTACCCGTCGCCATTTGCAACGTACGTTGGTTTACATTTGCCTCAAAGAACGTTGTATATCGATGGGATGTCTTTACAGGAAATACCGAGCTGCTCGGTTTATCCCGCCTGAGGGGTCTCAAACACCTACGTCTCGGCCAC